TAAAACGTTAATTACTTCATACGTTTATGATTTATATAAAAAATGTTAAAACTAAAATAAATAATTCAAATTAATAAAAATAATATTATGTTATCAAAATGATAACTATTTTAATAATATAATATGTATAATATATATATTTATATATTTATCTTTGGTAAATTTATAATTTAATGAGCAATTATCATTATCTGAACTAAAGTTAAATTAGTTTTTAGTTTTTTTTAAGTAATAAAAAATGTTTATTAATTTAATTGATAATTCAAAAATTGTGTAAAATATATTTTAAAACGGGAAACTATTTGTTCAATACTCATACATTATAAGTAAATTAAAAGTTATTCTTAATTTATTATTTTTCATAAATTACTATTATCTACTTAATAACTAGTTAGGATTGATAACTATATTAGAATAGTTACCTATTTTCCACCTTTTTTTTTGTATACTATGCGTTACACAATTCATAGTAGAATAAATGCTTTAGTTTTAAATTTTAATATTTTTTCTGGTAATAAATTGAATCAAGTTGATACTATTGGAAGGTCAATATTAAAAGTTCTTTAAGTATTTTTCAAAATAACGAGGAATAAAAAAAATCGAAAGTTTTACACACAATTTTGTTATAATAAAAAAAAAAAAAAACTGTACATATTTAAAATTTTCACTAAATATGTATGTTGATATTTTTTATAATAATTGGTGTAATTTTCAATATATTTAAGCTATTTAATTTATTTGACATTTTCATTTTTGCTTTAAACATAATATTTTCGTTGGGTCAAAATGTTTGAACATTTAATAAAAATTCTTCATAAAGTTTCATAGATTTGTATTGTTTATTTATTATAAGTACTATTTGTAATATTTTTTAGATTTAAATATTAAAAAAATAAGTTTACAAAATTTCAATTATTCATTTTTGGACTAATAATTAATTTCTGTATTAATTAGTAATATAATTTTCAATACAGAAGCTAGTTAGCATACAATATTATCAGTAAGTATTTTACTATTTATAATATCTACTGTATTAGTACATTTAACAATTATAAATTGTTATCTATTCCTTCCAGAATCGTTTAGATAAATGTAAACATATATATTCATTTATAATACCCTACCTATAAATATTATTTAAAACTTTTTTAATAACGGCGTAGCGTATAGGCAATCAAGGTACAATGTGTAAAATGCGACTATCTTGTAAAATGGACTACAATAAATTCAGTCGTAGAAAGTTGTTTTTGTCTGGTCAAAACGAATGTTGTTTGATAAGTGAGGAAAAAATACAGACATCAAATTCAAAGTTGAATGTTAATTTTACTATTTTTAGAACGAAATCCTTTCATGAATAATTATTTTACTTTGTCTTTCGGAATGGTTGGTGGCTAGACTTGACGGGTGTCGGCCGGTAATGTTCGTTGTCATGGAAATAGTTATTGTCGTAGAACGTTATCAATGTAAATTATAGCCGTTGCCATTGGGTCATACATCCAGCCTACTGAGTCACCCGTCCCTATTTTCCTATGATTGGGTAAAGAGGAGAGTTAATGAAATCGTTCTGTTTGTATTCTAAAATTACATTTAATAGGAACAAACATCAGTATTATGCTGTAATGTTTGTATACTATGTACTTACAAATATCAATTATGATGAATATTATAAAATAAAAACTTCATAACTATTTGTTAGGTGTTGGGTATTTAAAAAAATATAAATTTTTACATTTAACATACTTTTTATTTTAATCCAAATCAGCAACAGAACTCCTCGTTTAACATAAGAAAAATCTGGTACGTCCACTACAACACGCGCCCAAACCATATTTCAAAAATCAAAAGTTAAAACTTAAAATATTAATTTAAAAATAGTGCTTATGTAAATTTAATATACTTCATATTATTCCAAATATTTTGAAATTTTTATTATTATACAACTAATGTTTTTGAAATTATAACAAAATAACAAAAATCTTTTGTTAAGAAATTATTAAAAAAACAATGCCATTAAAATTTGTAGTTAAAATTGATGGAATTTAACTCTAAACCGCTTTCTTTAATTCTAGTAAAAAAACGACAAATAAAAAAATCTCATATTATATTTTAAAATCTTATTAGATATCATAAAAAAACATTATGGATTTTTAACTATAAAATAATTTACACGTTTACAAAGCAATTCAAATTTAAACGCTTTTAAACAAACCTTAAATTGAACACTTTCCATTTTACAGTTTATAAATCTTAACAAGGCAATAACATTCCGGATTAAAATGATACTCAATATTTCACTCAATTGTAAATAAACTTAAAAATAACATAAAATCTTTTGAAAATGTATGCATAAAATCTATTATAAATCTGAATTACAGCAATCTCGCTTGTATGAATCTTAGAACAACCGTTATTATCACGTATATCGACCAAAAACCACTATGTCGAATAAATATACAACTTAAATCTGATTCTGATATCACATTAATCTATCTGGTTTTTGAAATAATATTGATTATTTTTGGTTGTCTTAATTATTACGATAGATCAGAAATCTGTTATCTTTAGTACCGCAGTAGGTACTCTCAGTTAATAGTCGTCTTTGTTGGATAACCTGTGATTGGTAGAATGATTACTAAGATTGCGTTAAACTACATTAAGTTGCAGCATATCACTGAACTCCGGCGCAGCCTCCATTACTGTAAACGAGCAATTTCGTATTCGTATCAATACTTTTTTAAAACTTGAACAAAATTAAGACTATAATATTGCAGAAAACAATTTATTTTAAAATTTGAAAGAATATAAATATAATTCAAAAACTAAGTTTTGTTGTTAAATCCTTATTTTTATTTGTGTTTTTATAATTATGACGGCAAGTATTTGTTTAGTAGGAATGTATTACAATTGAATCGAAGACACTAATATCATATAACTTTAAACATCTGTAATTTAAAAATCGGGCCTATTGTTTTTCTCTTTACCTAATTAGCTACATCTGATTAAAAGACTAAAACGACTAAATACATGTAGTAAGCTAAAAATATTAAAACAAGTTTATGGTATTAAATTTAACTTTATATAAATATATTTGTAATTATAAATTATAATGTTATTAAATTACTTTGTTAAAATAATAAATTATTTTCCCCGTCTATTTCGTTTACCCTATTTTAATCTCATTACAAACTGTGTAATGTCATATTATAATATAGTAGACTTTGAAATTAAAAACTTCTATCATTTTTTTTTAAATAATCGGGAAAAATAAGAAATTGAAAAAAAAACATTAATTTTTATGCAAAACTAGTTTTTAATAAGATTAATTTTGTTTTATTTTTGTGTTACACAAAAAACTAATAATCGTTTATATTATTATACTCTTATAGGTACACAATTAAATGTTCAAAAACAATTTAATTAATTTTGTGTTATTGTCTATAGATTATACCATATTTATATCTAATGATAAGTTAAATAACCATAATAATCAATAACTAGGTACTGTATAGTAGCGCTATTTTTCTTACTTTTCCCTCTTTGGTTTTTATCTTGCAAAATTTCAATTATGCTTATATGAAAACAATACATTTTTATTTTATGAATTCAAATTCTAAAATAAAGTTTTTAATAAAATATTGTATTATAAGTGCTATGTTGTATTTGTTTTATTCCAAAACTATTTTCAGTCAAATAATAGATGTTGGTTCAGTTTATTACTTTAATGTGGTAGTTATAGTAAATTAGTAAAGTAACAATGGATGCGGGGTCATTAACAATTTTACTAAATTAAAATTACTTATATGACTTAACATATTATTTAATTGTTATTATTTTTGAAATTAAAGACAGAAAGCTACAAAAATACATATTTTAAAACATAAAACTATCGATGAGTGTAAGACCAATTACACTGAGCTATATATCTGTCAGAGTCAATTTTAAGATTCACTAAACATATAGCTTTAAAATACTAAAAAAACCAGTTAAACATTTTTATTTAAAAATAACTGTACTTGTTATGCTTTAGTTAAATAATACATAATATTCACATAATTATTATATAATTTAAGTACAATTATAATAATTATAAAATATAAAATATATTTTTGTTCAAATACGTTTTAACATGGTGTAATCTATAGGCAAAATAGGTACACAATCACGTTGACAAGGAAATAAAAGATTCTTCGATTTAACCAACACCATATTTTGTAACCTACGATATTATTTTTTAAGTTTTTGCAAATTTTCATAAAATGAGAGTTTAAATGATGTGCGTCTATACTATTATATATTACAACATAGAGAAGCAAGTAGATACATGAAACGGGTAAATACTAAACGACAATAATGTAATAACGCACTTATTGTCCAACGAATAGAATATATTTGTTGCAAATCTTACAATTTAATTGATACAAACACGCGACGCACGTGCATAGCGAGGCGTACAATATACACATATATATATATACAAATATGAACTGTTGTTCGGAGAAAAAAATCGTCGTTATTATCATGCCTGTAGACAATAATACAAATTTAAAAAAAAAATTCATATTAATAATAATAATGATAATAATAATAATAAAAATAATAATAATAATTAATAATAATAATAATAATCAGTAAAAAATATAATAAACGTGGTTTAATCGTGGTCCTCGTACAATATATGTATAGTTAGGCTTGCGTCTTGCGTAGGAGTGTGAGAGAGAGAGAAGTCCAAACACACACGCTTGCGGGCTAACATACATGACGCGACGTATACGTATATAGTAAATGGCAAGCGTACCGCCGGTAGTTATTAAAAAAAAAAAAAAACAAAAAAAATAATTAAGAAATTAAACATACTAATAACTATGATAATAATAAGGATTATAATAGTAATAATAATAATAATAATAATAATAAAAAATAATAAAAAAAAAATTAGTACACCTACGAGTATTACACATTATATAATAAATATATATTTATATATATTATACATAATGACTACAGGTAAATTATTAATCATCGATGATTTGTAAACATAAAAAACTTTTTTTTTCTTTTAAAAAAGTTGGTGTTTTAATAAGGTCGATACCTTTTTACACTAAAACGGTCAATGACGGTGAAGCAGTCTCGTCGTTACCGTCTTCCGAGATACGGTTATTGTTGTTGTTGTTGTTGTTGTTGTTATTGTTGCTGTTATTATTGATCAGATTCGAGTGCAACAATGACGCCGCCGTATAATGTTGTTGCTGCTGTTGGTTGTGATACTGTTGCTGCTGGTTGGGCAGTACTTGTTGATTGTGAACGTCTCCGCGATTGCGACGGTTGTACTGTTGCGCCGTTACTTGCTGTTGCTGCATATGTTGTTGCTGGTGTACCGGTAATTGATGTTGTTGTTGTTGTTGTTGTTGCTGCTGCTGCTGGAGTTGCTGCTGTTGCTGTTGTTGGTGTAACAATTGTTGTTGTTGTTGCATCAGTTGTAGTTGTCTCCGTTGTTCGTTGTCAACGTTCAATGTCTTTTTGCATAACAATAACGGCTGCGGCGCTGCTACAGCCAACGGCCGCTGTTGTTGCTGTTGCTTCTGCTGCTGCTGCGGCTGTTGTTGTTGTTGTTGTCGAGGAACCGCTGCAGCCACAGATCTAACGGCAGCTACTGGCGGCATTGCTACGTTCGTTTTCTCTCCGCTCTTTTCGTCATCGACGTTCATTCCGTCGGCGTCGGTGCCACCGTTCAGATGCTGTTTTCCGTGCAATTCCAGTGCAGATCCGTCATCGGCCGAGGTGACGTTGCACAACGGGTGAACGATGCTTACACGCGAACAGCTCAGAGACGATCCCGCCGACAAGTTATTGCGTCCACAGCCACTTCCGCCGTAGTCACCGCCGGCGGCCGTCACGGCGATCCGGTTTCCGCCGGTCACCAGGCGCTTGAGGTTTTCCTCGTTTTGTCGCCGCACCAACGACAACATCAGACTGTCGCCACCGGGCACCGAAGGGTCTACGACAGCTGAAGACGAGTCCGACGTCGTTTGTCCACCGTTCGACTTCCTCCTGGCGCTGCTCCGGAAACGTAGCAACAGGAACACCGCGATCGCCAACACAGTGGCCAACGCTCCGCAGGCCACGCCAACCGTCCAATAATAGTAGTAGTAATGTCGGTAATCTGTAAAAGCACAATTCCGGTATTAGTGTTGTTGTTGAACGTCTGGTGATGGGAATGACCACCAGTCATTTGCGACGACATTTGATGACGTGCGAAAGTCCACATAATCATCTACGACCGCATAAGAAATGAGCGTATTTTGGTGGCCTATATATTTATATGTTACTCGATCACAAATCGTTGTGTTTACTTAACTATATATTTTTAATTTATACGATAATTATGTAAATAATTGTTAAATGTGTAAACAAACAAACAAACTAGTAATAGAAATAACTAAACACACCTAATCATAGACCAATAAACTAATGTTGAACGCTTTCCACACAACTCTACCGTCAAAAATACAGTAACCAAGTAAATGAGAGAAAAATACTGATTACTCGATCGCGTTAATACTATAAAACTTCGATTAACCGTCAGTCTCTGTTATCTGTCATCGAAATATAAAAAGCTTTCCCAAATACAACGCATGTCTTACTTCCCCGTAAAAACGGAATGTTGTCACTCAAAAAGCGCGAGTCTTGAAGACACAAAAGGAGATGATGACGGATTATTTAGTATAGTTAGTACATATATGTGTATGTATATGTGTAATGTGTATACATAATATTTATTATGTTTATTTGTAAACATATATTTATTTTAGCCTACTTTTGTAATTGTAATAGGTACACGTTGTAAAATGTTTACGTTTATTGCAAAACGACTGTTAACTTCCATGATCCCGCGGTCCCGACGGTGATGGTTAACCGAAGTTTTACTATAGTACTTAAACATGAATGATTTACTACACGTTTTTTCATTTCATTTCCGTACTCGACCACGAGTTTAATACAACTATATAGGTTTATGTTATCAAGATTAATTACAATTCATTTTATTGTACCATATTTTTTTATTTAACCATACACACACTATATTTTACAACTTTTTCTCTTTTTTCTTTCTCTACCATTTCGTTCCCTAACATAAATTCTTACGCACTCAACCGTGTCAGTTATTAATTGGTCGCTAATTCATATATTTCTACCTGATGATCCCTAAATGCATGAACGATAATAATATCGCACAAACAATAGGTTTATAAATTATATACACAAAAAGAAGGATTACTCAAAAACACAACGCCAAAACACGCCCGCCTCATAACCGATGAGTTGAATATCGTTTAACGCGAACACTTACCATCTTTTGAAGAATCAGACGCCGGAACTGGCGTCGAATGCGATTCAGCCGTCGTGCCACCTCCGAGGACGACGTCAACTACGGCGGCCGTCAAGAACGCTAGAGCCGCCGCGTCGTCATAATCGTCGACACCGCTGTTCAGTGTAGGGCGAAGACGATGACCAATCGATTGAACTTTTTTCGTTGAAGCCGCTGTCGATCCGCCAACAGTACCGCTGTTGAGTCGTTTGTAAAGCGTTTGGACGGCCCGTCCTACGATCGTTGCGACATCGACGTCGTCTTCCTCTATCCCCGTTGCCGTGATCCATCGTTGTTTGTCCGACACGGCCGCCTAAAAAGATACACGCAATAAATAAATAATTCAGATTTCCAATACTGGATGTATTCGCGGATGTTCAAACATGACAATAGAAAATTTAAGATATCATTCGGTTGCTCATAACCGTTGATATTAAGGATAATAAATACGTTGGGAAAACTTAATTTTAAAACCACGCACCTATATACCTATTTAATTTACTGACGACCACAAGGTTATTATAATACTATGATATGAGTATATGACTATATAATATATATAGTATATACTATACCATATTATTATCATTATTACCTACGAAATGAGATATATATTACATAATTTAAAGCTATCTAGACCAAAAACGGTTATTTTCATTTAAAACCTGTTTGCGTATTTATGCCGACCTATAATTATGTAAAAGCCTAATTGAGAATAATTTTACAATTTAAACCTTATAGTTTTTATTGATCTGAAGATGAATTTTTTGATTTTAAAAACAATACTTAAAATTAATATTTTTCTTTTAAATTTGAATTAAAAGAGCCTATATGTATATTGTATATTTTTAAATTGGTAAAAGAATAACTTATAACTTATAAGCACCGTTGTACCTATTAAATCGTCAAGCTAATAAACGTATAAAAAAAGTTGAAATATTTTTTGAATTTCATATCTAAGATCTAAGGTTATTATTTTTTTGTATAACATAAAAACAACAAAATCGATTTCGTTAAAAACCGCTGTTCCTTAAATAGTCCCGTTTTATAAATATATATTTCATTTTTCCAATTATTTTGAATAATAGTCGCAATTTTCTATTAAGGATTCCGGTCAATCGTGATACAAGGCTCTCGTATGCCGTTAAACAATACGTACCAAAGACACTCGAATGGTAACACGGCGCCGTCGACGTCGACGTCGAGTATTGCCATTATTTCCGGTACCAACACCGCTACCGCTTCGGTCTTCGTCGTTATTGTCTCGTTGATCCTCTGCCGCTTCACACATGACGTACACTCGACTCCGTCTGTATTCGATGTCGTCCTCTTGGCTTAAGCCGTCTTCGTCGCCGTCACGCACCCATTCCCGGGCCAACAATCGACGGAGGCTGTGGCACACAGCTGATACTCGAGTACCGCGCCTCAGACGCGCCGGGTCCAGGGTGACGCGCAACCGACCGCAAGCGTCACCACGCCGTCGACGGTGCTGCTGGTGCGGCATGCGTTTATCACTGGCCACGCCGTTGGGCAGACAATGCTGGACGACCGACGGCCACACCGTCGTGGGTGCGCCGTCTTCGTCGTCGTCGTCGTCGTCGTCCACATCGCCGTCGTCCACCACCGCGGTCGCGCACTGACCCCGACGACGACGCCTCGGCCACGAGCCAACGGCCACATAAGCACTGTGGTCGTCCTGGTTGCCGTCGTCGTCGTAACCGTACCGCAACCGAACGTCGTCCCTGTCCCGATCTGCGTCCACGCCACCACACGGTGGGCGTAAACACTGTCGCCACAGGAGAAGGTTGTCCACCGCAGCGGTTGTTCCTTCGGCATCTCCTCGTTTGTCCAGTTCACCATCAAGTAATTCCTCGTCGTCCATGTCATCTACGATCGGTACGCATACCTGCATAGAACACAAAGACACGTTGCGTTTATAATATCATATGTCTTGTTAGAAACCAACAAGCACCCCTCTCTACACTACACTCCTATAAGATATGTAGCTTATTAAATTGCTACACCACAATCCTGGCAACTTATATAGGATAAAGATTGTTCAAGATCAAATATATTTTTTATTTCGAACTTTTCAAACTTTAATCAGATAACTACATAGTTCTAAAATTGTAAAAACTATTAAGAACCATACGAGAAATACGAAAAATAAAAATAATATTCAAGTGTACGAATAATTATTATAGTATTTTATGAAATATTAATTATATATTTTACAATATTATCAAAATCTCTTTAGAAAACTACTTGAAGTATTCGGTTTAGAGTACCAACCAATTGTTCGAATTCCTCGAAATTCGAGGGAGCGAGAGTTCAAAAAGTTCAAGATCCCATCTTTAAATTATCAACGCATACAGTGTATCGGTGTTCGATTGTACTAACCGCAAATGCGTATAAGACGTGTAACAACAATAAACGGTGAAAGTTACCTGGTTGGTGCCGGTGCAAGGCATAATGCCGCTCAGACAGTCGAAAGTCGAGGGTCCACACCACATGTTTGTGCACGACATCACAGCTGACTTGTTGTCAACGTTGTCGACCCCCGACGATTTTGAGCTGCACTTGCACTCGTTGCAACCGTCATCGGCGATCCAGTGCTTGCGCCGATGGCGGCCGGCTCCGCACATCACGGTGGCGGCGCCATCGTCGTCGTTCTGTTGTTGATCCGCTACTGTTGACGCTGTACCGAAACAAACAGACACGAATTACAAATCATGGTAATAACATTATGTACGTACGCGTGAACGCGACACGACAACCGAGACGCAAAGTTGTGTATAGATGGCAATAACTGCGGCAAACGTCGACGAAATATTAAACTTAAACTCCGGGTGGGTCTGGGGGTGGGGGGGGGGGGGGCTTGCAACGTATAGTTCGCGTCTTGACGAACGCACGACACCGTGCAATATTTCAGTTTACAAGTGGACGCGTTCTTTTCGTACAAAAATCACAAAACTCGGCGCACATACATGATAATAAATATATAAATACGTGCGCGCGTGCATCGCTGTAATATTATTATTACTATTATTATTATTATTATTATTATTATTATTATTGTGTGTATTAATAACACGACGCGCGCGCCGCCCGCGCTTGTAAAACGACGGCGTGATAGCCGCGGCCGCGTCCAGTCAGCGGGGCGCCGATCTGACGAAGCTTACACGCCGCCGCCGCCGCCGCCGCCGCCGATTGTTTTTCAGCTCTCGCGGGACCGGAGACCGGCCGCACGACGGACGACGACGACGTTTTCCCATTAGACCCCCGCGGACGCCGTAACGACGGCCGCGCAGCAGCACGCCGTCGATGAGAAACCACCGCCGTCGTAGTTTACGATGGTCGCCGCCGCCGCCGCCTTGCTGCACCGCGCGCACGCACACGCGCGGGCTTGCGGACGCACACGTTTTCACAAACGGATCGGCCGCGAGACGGCGGTCATTATTATTATAACGACGTGCAGTGCAGCTATTCGGCGGGTTCAGGTGACGCGGTGGGCTGCGGCGGGGGGAGCGGGTTATTATTATTATCATTACTCGTCCGCCGTTATTTGTTGTTTGTAGGAGGCGGCGGCGGCGGCGGCGGCGGCGGTGGTTTCGAATTTATACATTATTCAAACATAAAATACGTACAAATATAATATTACGTGTGTTATATTATTATTATGCACCGCCGAAGCGAAGAGACGGACGACGACCGATGACGTGTAGCACCGCCGCCGCTGCCGCTGTCGCTGACGGACGAGCGTTATATCGCCGCCGCATAATATTATACCGGACGATTCCGGCGGCCGCGCGGTCGCTAGCGCGCGCGCCCTCGAAACGGTACGCGCGGAGCGCGGTCTCAGCGTGACACCACCGCGTTTACCTGCTGGACACCACCACTGTACCGTGGCGTGCGCGCACATTTAATAACGAGATTTCGGTTACGGTTTATTTTTTTTTTTTAAGTATATATAATAAATTACGTAAAAAATCGATATATACACGCTGTGTATACACTATATTATAATATTATACTGCGGGGCTATGTATATAATATTCGTAATATAATATATGAATGACAGGATGAAAAAACTGTACGTAAATTAGAAATACGTCGTCCGCGTGTTTTCACATAATCATCGACTATACACGAGCCGGGGTCTCGGAGATCATGACGGTTGCGGGTGGGGTGATAGAGAGCACAAAACAATCCTTTCGTTTATCCATACATATACTTATATATATATATATATATATATATATATATATATATATATACATAAAGAAATAAATTATTTATGACAGATAAAGGTACATCACCCGAACGAGTATCTCCTTATAGGTACGAGACGTGATCACGATTTAACATTATTAAATACTGACGTGCAGTGAAGTGTGTTATTAACTATATTATTGGCACCACAAATCTTAGTAGATTTACGTCAAAATGCTATATCCTGGGATTTCAGTAATATTTGGTATAAATGTTCATACATTTTGCAAGTTTTGTATCGCAAACTCTATACATAACCTACCGACTACCAACTAATCCTCACAGCGTCATAATTTTTAAGCACTTCTGAATTCGTGTTATTTGTTATAAATTACAGATTAAATAACTTGTTTCCTGTGTGTAATAAAATTTAACCGGTGAGTAATTTATTTAAATTAGAGATACAAGAAATACGCTGAAATATTTTTATTCGGCAATAATTTGCGGACTTAAGAACACGATAATATTCATAAATATTACTGAAAATTAATAATACATCATGTTAGACTCATTGTAACAATTCAATCACATACTATAAAGTATAAACTATCATAAACTATCATATAATACGTATAAAAAATGAAAAATAATTCTAAGATATCAAATATTGTCTATTATTTTAAATTAAATACTTTTAACAAGCTCTTTTCCCCCCGCCCCCCTTCTAAATTATTTTAACCCTCAATGCGCGATTAAGAATAATAATAATAAAGCCTAATCGCTATAGCTGAAGATAAAAGACACTTACCCTTAGTGCTGTCATCATCTCCGTCACCGTATTGCTTCTGCTGCTGTCGCCACGTCAACGGTACGCCTGAGTCTGGCCGACGGATAGTGGCCACCGGAGTGATTGCGGTGCTACGCAACAGTGGTGGCGTTAACGGTGGTCTAATGCTGGTTGTTATCGTCGTCATCGGCGCGGCCGTCGTGGTAGTGGTGGTCGTGGTCTTAGTGGTCGTCAGCGTGGTGGTCGTGGACGTGGCCGTCGGCCTGGTAGCTCCGGCGGCGGCGGCGTCGGCAGGCACTGTACAGTTTTTGCCGTGCCACGACCAACCGTCCCCGCTACACTGGCAATAATAATCGTCCGGCGTGTTCAGACACTGACCGCCGTTCCGACATGGGTTCGGCGAACAATGGTCCCTGTCAATCTGTCAACATGATAAACCAAGATGTAAAGTAAAGAAAAACCATTGAATACTAGTCGGTTCTAAGTTTTCGTTAAAAAATGTCACTCAAATTCTTATGGAATGGAGACAAAAATGTATAGCTGTCTGTTTAATATGATATCATTGAAACGATGACATTTATATAAAGTTAAATACACAAATTAAAAATTATGAATACTCGTAATTATAATAAGCTTCTTAAGTTTAACTTCTTAACTAATTAACCCTCTTTCTCGAGATTTATTTAAGTCACTTACCTCACAGTTTTCGCCTGAATATCCCAATGGGCATATGCAAGAGTAAGTCTGTTGCTGTTGCTGCTGTTTGGCAGACAATCCACTCCCTCCTCCGCCACGCCAACGTCGCAACGGTACGCATTCACCACCGTTTTTACAAGGATTCCCACTGCCAGCCACACCGGATTCGCCGTCACCGCCACACGGATCGATTTGAGTTCTACAGTTCCGACCTTTAAACGACCAAAATAAGTATTATTAATTATATAATAGACAAGACACAACATTATACTATCAGTAGTTTTTTTTTTTTTATTTTGTCTAACATATTATAATATTATAATAGTACAATACAGCTATATATAAAAGGGAACTGCAGTACAAAAATTTTTTTATATATAATATTGACTAAATTTTGGTTCGATCAACCTAATATTGTTAGTTATGTATTTCATATTATTAATTTAATAGGTAAAGTCATTTTTACATAATATATTAATAATATTTATAGTATAAGTATTCGTAGTAATTATAATAGTAAACTTAAGTAAATATTTGATTGATAACAATTAAAAAAAAACAGAAAATTAAACTATAAATTGAAGTCCACAATGACGTTTATCATTAACCTTCTAAGAGATTCGTTGGCATTTAATTGTTGATGGTATAATAATATATAATTATGATTGTGCGATAAAAAAATTTAATAAAAATTTAAAATTAAATTATAAATTATTATATTTTTTTTAAGATCGATCTGGCCAACTTCTATAAATTATTAATCATTTCCATAAACTAAATGGTTGCATGAATTTTGAACATCAATATGTATAAGATTAATTTTATCACAGATTAATGGTAGAAAATCAATTCACTTCTTCACTCGCTTTAGTCAATAATTTATTATTATTTTACTAGTTAAAATTTACGCTAGATTACAATCTATATAGATGGCATTTAAAAAGATATGATTGTAATGAAAATATACCAGTAACAAACAAATATTTAGTGTTATTATTTTCATTCATAATTATAAATGTAAAACTACTCAGATAATAATCAACATACATTTTATTAACGAATTTTGCAGATTATATCGTCAATTATTTTAATCGATAAAAACAAGAATATAAACTATATTTGATTAATGCCTAATCGATCTATGTGCTACAACTTTGGGGCATTCTTTCCGCCCAACAAAGTGGTCACGCATATTACATAAACGAAAAACACGGCATATCGTATAGCTATAATAGAAACTAGAAGTAATAAATTTTAACTGGTACAATAATTTGTACCCGTAACAATCTCTTGGTTTATGACATTATTATTGCAAAATTGTTTACAACAATTTTCATCACACTGTGATTTTATTTATTATTCGTATGCTGCTACTACTTAAGTTTGCGTGTGAACAAGTATTGACTGTATTATTGTTCAGGGTTACGTGTCAGATCCACGCCCTCGCAAATCATGTCACATGCACACCGACGTTTGATTGCTTTTACGCAAACAAGCGAACCGCCCAAACGAAATCGCAAAATAATTTGCCTATATGCGGCCCCTTAACAACAAATATACCAAATAGACCCCCTTTGAATATTATTATCACAATGCTGTTTGACAATGTACTATCATAATACCTACTTTCTATATAACATAGATACATTTTTAAATTTTATTTTTTTGATTCATCCATTAACCAAGCGTGTGGTATTTTATATATAATATAAACTATAAATTTAAATATATATATATAAATTAATGAAAATAATAAATATTCACTAAATATCAAAATACTAGTGTTAAGGAATATCAAACTATAGTTACTGATTAACTTATAAGTCATTATATTATATTACTAACCAGTAAAGCCAACTGGACACGCGCATGCGTACCCTCCGATTAGATCCAAACAAGTTCCACCATTGGCGCATTTTACGTCTGGTCCGGCGCAATCGTCCACGTTTACGGTGCACGCTAAAGTTCCATTATGGCCATCCCTAGAGGCCGTCATCGCCGCCACCGTCGTCCAACCCCTTCGGCACACGCATTCTGTAGTCGCAGCGACGTTACTTCCACCCCCAGTTGTTTTGCATGGCACGGCATTCGGACCACACTGCTGTTCAATCACTGCTGTTTGCCGTTCCCTGTGCTGTCGCTCGCATTCGTCCACATCTACGATACATAAGTTTATGATGATGTTAAAATCATATAATATAATATACAAATGATAGACAAAGTGTCAAAGTAATTATTATTACTATGTACAAACAGTGATGAGATAAAAAAAGTAATCAAGAAGCAACCTTTTTATGGTTTTTAATGGATGGTGGGTGGTTGGATAACAAAAATATGACAGTAAACGTCTTTATCGGATTTTGTGTAGGTGAGTGAGTGGAATATAAGCCTCTGAAAACTTTTTGTTTGCCACGCCACTGTGTACATTTTGTTAATGTCATAATATTATATTCAAACATACCTATTTCGCATCGACGACCACGCCAACGGTCGTCCGCACACGCGCAACGCCAGTCGGCCACCAGGTCGATGCACGATCCTCCGTTCAGACATCGGGGTGGCTGAGTGGCACACTCGTCGATTTCTGTGGACCACATAACAAAAACTTTAAATGACTGCACATTTTCACACGAAATGGTATAATAAATAAATAGTATTATAAATTATAATATAGCATTAATATTAATATTCCCCTGAACGATGCGTTTAGACTTTACTCAGAATATTATTATATGATATGACCGTTGTTCAAATTTACGGTACAGCATACGTGCCATATCTACTTGTGTCGTCGTCCGCCTCTAAATCCTTTAAAACCCACTTCCCTCACTGAACTACTTACACCCACTTAGAACTGAAATAAAACAAAACGTCGAAACGTTTTTTTCTTTTTTTTTTTTTATATCTACATATTATTTTTCTCTGGTCATCATCATAGTACAGTCGTCGTAATTATAACAAGATGCTGCATGTGACATACCGAAATGTCATCGTCGTCATCATCGTTGTCGCCGCTGCCACTACCATAACTGCGTATACATGGTTTAATAACGTGGGCGCGCGACGTACATATCACCGCTGCTGCCGCCGACGCTGTAATGACTTTGCGGATAAAACAGCGGCGGTACTCTAGGTCCCGCGTGTTTACCATAATAACAATAACGACGTCTTGGGACGACACACACGCAACAAACCAACCAACAAATAAACAAATAACAAATCGTCAACGACAAGTCCTTTCTCTTTGTGCGCGCGCGCGCGCGCGCGCATGTAGTAACTTCGGAATTGGAATTTTGAATAATAATATCACGCGTGATTTAAATAATAATTCGTCATCGTCGTGCAATGACGGCAAGAACCCCTCGCCGCCCACCTGGCCACTAGCCGTAAGTACACGCGCATACACGACGACGACAAAAATCGTAGACGAGTACCCACTCGAAGATAGCACCCCCTTACCTCCCCACTCACAACCACGTAGCATCCGACAGCTCATCAGCCACTCGTCGTTTAAGTCTCTCGCCTACTGCCGAGGCGTTTTCTAAAGATATTCGCACACGTCGTATAATCACGGCGATTACTTAAGATAACACATACAAACACACTGCTGTTTTATTCTAACGCATCTCGTCTCGGTCACATAGTTACATGCAGTAGAACCAGAACTACAATATTGCATATTTTATATGATTAATTTATTATATATTAGAGTTAATTGACCTGTTATAAAATTTAAATAATACGAGAACATATTTTATCTATGATCAGTCTTTAATTTTTTCCAATATATATATTTATTTAGTTTATTTTTTTTTTGTTTTTTTTTTTTTTGAAGCAAGTTAATTACTTATTTTAATAAATTATTATACTATTGGAAATATCTCATTTTAAAATAAAGATATCAAAAAAAAAAAAAAAAAAAAAAAACGGACGAAAGATTATCTCTCTCAAATAATGTTCTCATCATTAAATCTTATATTAGAGGGTCAATTAATTCTAATAGATATTTTATAATATGCTCGCATTAGATATATATACATATTTACTAATTTAAATCAATAGTATATATTGATCTTATTTTATCTCAAGTTTGTAATATAGTATATAGTTTATACTACATACTGAGAAAACAAACCAGTGAGTAGTTTATCTGTGTACATAATAATATAGACAATAGAAGACATAGTATTATAAAAATCAACCAACTATATCAATACGGTGAAGGTATACTGTTGTTTAGTACCTATCGTCTATATTAACACTTCTGCAGTGAATAAAACATAAGTATCTCATACTACTATTTTCATATGGGTAAACATTAAAACACGCTATATACCTATTATATTAATTTATGATATGAACAAATATAATTATATGTACCTACAGGAAGTTTCTATAGTACAATTTTTTTCACTTAATAATTTTAACCTTCCTTGGTCAATTTCAATGAAAATAAAAATAAACTCATTATAGCCTTAACTCAAAAATCTTACCTATTTTTTATTCGATTAAATAAATATAGAATCTAGTAAAAATGAATAAATTAATTGCCAATTACTAGAAATTAAATTCAGTTGATTACGTTTGTTTTAATTTTTGCATATAAATAATCCGATATTTCTACTAGTGAGATTAGCATATTTAATGCGTCTCATTAATACAAAATATAATCTGTTACTCATGTTCCAAAAACAAACAAAAAAAACATGTTTAACAATTTGTCTAGCTAATATTCCCGATCAAATTAAATTAAAAAGTTAAAACATCAAGTTTACATAAAAAATATTATTAAATTTAATACCGTAAATAAATTCAAAATATTAATTACTTTTGTATGGCATATTATATAATGATTACGAATAAATTACCCGTGTGAATATTTCGTGTATTTTTATGATATAAAGACGATTTGGAATTTAACAACAATTGAAATGTCATCTTCATCATAATATAAACTACAATAGCATTAAACATGTAATAGTTTGTTTATTTTACCACGAGCAACTAAGCAGAAATCAACGACCAATTATAAAAACTTAAAATCCCAGAAAGACACGAATAGAATTTTAAAATGTTACCTAACTATAGCAATTTGAAATATACACGATGAATCACAACGATCTGACGCATTCAAATGTAATTTTAATGTAAAATCGTCTTATCTCCACGGCGCGTTGTGTAAGTCAATATAAATTAAGCATAATGGAAGTAAAAAGTAATATATGCAAAGACACGCGTGTTTTGATGTGTACCTGTATTGCAAGTGCTGCCCATCCAGCCAGGCCGACAATCGCAGTGGAACTGCTTGGGCACCAGTAGCGGAGCAGATTGAGCAGCGGAGCCGAACGTCGGTGCACCGCCAGCAGCCGGACCCGAACCAACTCCACCGGCACCGCCGGCGGACGACGCGATCGCGTCCACGGTCCGGCATTTTCCGCCGTTGGCGCACGGCTCGGTGGCGCACGGGTTCAGCACCACGTCGCAGTTGGCGCCTCCGAACCCTTCGGGGCACGTGCACGTGTACCGGTCCGGGGCCGTGCTCTTGCACGTCCCTCCGTTCAGACACGGTTCGTGTGTGCCGCAGTAGTTCAAGTCTGAAACACGAAAACATAACGCGTTCAAGCAGTCGTAAAAAAAACACAATAATAATAATAATAATAATAATATACTCGTACTATGCGGCGTACGTGCAACGAGCGCGCACGGGTTTTTGGGTTCGCGTGCGCCGCGACGTTCACCCGGACCTCGGCGGCCGCGGCACGATAGCGGTATGTAACTGCTGCGGTCGGGGTGTTGCCGGACACGACGGCGATAAGTAATAGAGGGACGGCGCGGCGCATAATCGGTAGGTAGGTTAGATACCTACGTATAGGTAGGACGATATTATTATACGTTGTGCAGCACTAGACACGGTATTATTCGGTGCGGTATATAATATACGTTACGAGCCGACGACGACGACGACGACGACGACTACGACTACGACTACGATTATACAACGACGACGATGATGACGATGACGACGATTCGGATTATTGTAATTACAACGATATCGCGGCGGGTGCGTGCAGGTAGTTGTTTTGGTCGTTGTTATTATTGTTGTTGCTGTTGTTGTTATTTCGCGGCAGTGGGGCCGGTGGTGGCTGTGGTAGTGATGACGATTGCGGGGCGGGAGCAGGGCGGGTTAGTGTTTTTATTTTTTTTTTCTCTCAATATATACGTATTATATACGTGTATACGCTATCCGTTACGTTCGTGTGATCAATTCGTCGACGAGTAATAATTTAATGCACTCAGTCGCGGAGCGGTGTAATAACCGACCATATATACCTATATAATATAATGCGCGGGCTCGCGCGCGACCGTTCGCCGGGTCTCTGGATCGCTAAGCCGCTGCCGCCGACGAAAACGAGTTTTCTAAAAAACCATGAGGCGGTGGTGGCGTGCGACTCTGCGCCCCGCCGCCGCCGCCGCGTTGTGCAACGCAACGGCGGCGGCCGTAGAATCGTGATCTGACCGTCCCAGAATACGATTACGCGCGCGCGTGATTATTACCCGCGAGGCGGCGCGGCGCGAGCAAATACGGCTTATACATACCTAACTATATACAATATTATACGCGTACATGCAAGTAGGTGGACCGATATATATATATACACATACTGTATAGGTATATTTATATTATGCTATGTGCTCATATACATGCCGAGAAGAATACAGGTGGACCTGTGCGAGCAAGTCGAAAAACCTAACCGTCGCGCGTCGTGCGTATTAATTATAATAATAATAATAATAATAATAATAACATTATGATGCGAGGTGCTGCGCGCGGCAGTCACTGTTATTATTATATTACACGGCACTGCCGTTTTGATTAATGCGCGGCGGCAGTGGCGGGCGCGACCGACTGTCGGATTTTTACGCGCGCGCGCGATCGCGAGCCCTATCGGAATTCGCGGTACGTATGCGTATGTTACGGGTACGCAACGGCGACGCGCGATAATCGGCACGCCGCGCGACGCCGTTGAAAGCGACAGTGTCGGCGTGGGCCTGCAGGACAACAGCACAAAGTACCAAACGATATTAATATTATAATATCACCATCGTTGTACGTACGATAATAATATATATATATATATATATATATTTATGTATATATTATTAGTTATTACATTTTTAGCGTAATAATTTAACAACAAAACATTGTCTTCCACTGATAATCGGCTGTTTAGTTTAATTAAAGTTAATAGCAGTGTTGGTGTTGTAGCGTACGACGGAAACGGAAATATAATTATAAATGTATAATAAATTATGGTAAACAGTATACTATACTATCGCGCATGACGACACCGCCGCCCGCGACGGAACAATAATATAATATCATAATGAATATTTTGACATATTACTGAATTAATAAAATATATATGTATATATTATGATACTATAAAAAAATGGTGAACATAGGTACGTTTCTAAACATAAATAAAACCTAAACCTTTTCTCTTCAAAATAACAAAACGTGTAAGTAAATAAATAAATAATTAATTAAATCGAATGTTTATTTTTTATATTACAATTGTTTATTTATATATATATTTTTTTTTTATGCTTTATACTTTATACTTTATATCATTATTTTAAATTAAATTACTGAAATAACCACAGAAAAAAAAGAAATAAAGATAGAATACCCGATAAACACGATGTTCTGACTGCATAAGGAGGAATATAATACCGGAATGTTTTTTATCTATCGTCAATGGTAAATACGTATATAGTCACACAGCAATATTTTTTCCATCCAAGTATTTTTTTTTTTTATAATACATTATTATTGTTGTACCGTGTTTCATAATAATATGATATACATGGTAAAATGGAAATTAATTAATTAGTATAATTAAGAAACACAATCATTATTAAGTACCAAAAATGCAACAAATACCTATATGCACTTTAAAGTTTTCAAATTTATTTCACTCATTTTAAAATAATATTTAACAAATAATTTCAAAAAATATTATTTATCCGATAAACTATTTCTTGCATTAAACACATACATGAAAAATATTATACATATAAGTTCTGTTGTAATATTATACGTATATAATTATACCGAGACCATGAAGCACTTTATTATTATTGTTATACTTCGCACGATAGTTGGCGCCTATATCTTGACGTTGACCTTATTCATATTTCATTCGATTGAGAATTCGCGACTAAAAAGGTCTGAATTGTCTTCTATGTTTTCTATATATATGTAATAATTATAATAACTATAATAATATATTATAGAGGACATAGGTGTACAATAAATATATTTACTTTATACTATTATAATTATATTCAACAGCGTAATATCAAGCTATCTATCATCAGTTTTATTTATCAAATATCATAGTTAACACTCCAGGAAGTGTTTATAATGTTTAAATACAATAAATATTAATAATTATTAAAAATGTTATCTGTAGATTTTTATTTAGTAAATGGAATGCGATATTTATGAATGGAGAAAATAAGTTTCACAACTAATCAAATAAATATAAAATTTTAGGTTCACCTATATTTTTATTCCAATAAGTCCATTATTTAGAATAACTGAAGAAAGAGAATAATTTCCATCCATAAAATAAGTCAATCAAATTTATGATAACAAAACGTGTTGATACCTATGATATATGATTCATAATATTGTAACATACCATTCGATGGTATTTGGAAGACCATCATGTTTCAAAAATATTTGTTTAACATGAAAAAACTATTATTTCAAATGAACGATTACTTTCTAACTATGAAAAATATTGTTAATTATAATTGAACATACAAATTAATAATGTTCAACATATAAAAAATATTATTTTGCTTTGAACTTACTCAGTAATAATAATAATTTAATAGTAACGTAATAATAAATTACTTTTCAATATTAAGTACCTATATAATAGTAAAATATATACAGCAGTAGTCAAATAATAATAATTTAGCGATGGCAATAAAATACCCGACGACACGACGTCGATTGATCGATGATCACAAATTATGTGATCAATATAATAATAATAACAATGGTTATCGATAGCAATAACTATAACTCGCTCCCCCTTCCTCTACAACCACCGTACAATACCCAAACCAAATGACTACTAAAAAAAATAAAAAACTTTCAATTATAGATACATAAATGTGTATGAATAATATATTACGTGCATTACTTTTATTGTATAAAATCAATCGTGCGGTACCACCGTCGTCATGTATACTGAGAACTATAATATATATATATATTGATATTATATTATAATAAGTGAATTATATTATGTATTATATTGTTAATATTGTATATTATATTAAAAAAAACATAACATATATTTTATACGCTGCATAATAAACGATCGCAACGAAAATTGGGAAACGAAAAAAATATTTATAATTATACGATTATATTATTATACTATTAAATGCAATAATCTGACGAGTTTTTGCGACGATCGTTGTTACCATTTCTGTTAAATAGAATATTAAATAATTAATTGGTAAATAAAGAAATTGAATGTCACTGGCAGATACTGCATTTGAGCATTTCTAAATATTATATTTTTTCCTGAAATACTAGTGTGCAATTATTACATAACCTCACCTATACTACTCGATGGTTAAATATACCCATAAAAAATAGAACATTTATATTATAATTCAAAACGCGCGTAACGAAAAATGACGACGAAGACAACAATCGTCGCGCGGAACGGATTATAATTTTTATGAGCTCGAGGTGTCCCCAACCCTCCCAGCATCGCCACAACCATCACCGCCGTTTTATTACTATTCTATCTGATTTATATATACATGTAGGTATACACTTTTTTTTTTATCAGACCAAGCTGTCGATTGAAAACCACCGATATTGCCGCCGTGCAGTGGGTGATTCGATACGCACCACTAATCATTAAAAAAAAATCGTCGCAATCGGCGAACGATATACTAAGTATATAATATATACTCGTATATCTGCAATAATATAATAGTCACCGCCTCAAGATTGATTTCAATAAAAACAATTATAATCAGGGTTGTGAATGTTAAAGAACATAAATAAAAAAAGCATATACCTATATATGTTAACTAAAATATATGCAGTTTAATAAATTTACAATACGATAAAAAAGTGAGTACGTAACGCAAAAATAATTCCACGTTAAAAATACGAAGCATGCCAGATAAAATGTCTTATACCTACACATTCTTTTAATTAAATGAATGGGTAAAAATAATCCAAATACCGCATTATGACTCACAATCGACAAGGTAGACTATATAGTATGTAGAGAGGTACAGGTATATATCATCATTGGGTTTAATGTTTGTATTGATTTCTTAGTCATGATTTGGATTTTTGAATAAGAAGCGAAAATATATTGTATACCCAGTGACTGACATAAAGATTAAGATATCAAGCATTTCATTTGGCGCCAATATACCTACCTTTTATAAGATGATAATATCCAAAGTATAAAATATTCGTATTAAGTATAATAACTGAACCTTAATAAAGGATTTATGGCAAACAGGTTGCTAGCGTCACGTCGTCCCGAACCTATACAAATCATAATGGCCAACCCCAACACGACAGCACCGTTTGTATGTCAAAATATCCGAATTCTTAAAACTAAAAAGTATATTTTAGATTTATCAACAGTATATTATCTAAACAGCCACATAACGTTGGAGACAATTTTCAAAATTAAACTGAATAATAATACTTCTATTTCATTAAATTATAGTATTGAATTGATTTATAATAAGTGTAACAAATGTTTTAAATATACATACGACTACGGCATAATTTTACATGCATTTTCTCCTTATAACAATAATTTCAAAACACTTACCTTGATCGCATAAAATTCCTCCCCAGTTAACGTCACAGATACACTGCCAAGAAGTTCCATTACAATATCCATGCTTACATCCAGGATACGTCATACATTGATCGCACAATTCACCCTGCCAACCTTTCCGACACCTATTTTTTTTTAAAACAAAAATATCCATTTAAATACAAATTTGACATATTATATAATAAATATTAAAAATATAACGACAACAACTATGTACCATCGTATTGGGAAGTATAAACAAAATTATCACATCGTAATAGTTGTGGGTTAATCACAACTCACAAGCTTACTCATTATTAACTTATAAAAGATATCGATTTTAGTTTCTAAAACTTACAAAAGATTATTTAAATATGAGTGCATTTTTTAAACTAACATCTACTAACTGATTACGGTATTATTTATATACAAAATATACAATATACCCATAATACCTAATAATTTAACGCACAAGGACTCAAACAAATATTTTAAGTTATTTATAATAATACAAAGATGAATGGAATTACTGCAATGTTAATAAATTATATAAACTTCATGAAAGAATTACACAAAAAAAGAAATGATCTCTTCTTCTTAATATATTCTTATCAAAATTAATATAAATAAGTAAACTAATTATTATTGATATGCCTAAGATATGACCATTCTTCGACTTTTTAATATTTTTGTTACATTTGTTTATTTAAAAATTAAATTAAATAGGTACACGAAATGTTTCGTAACGAAAAAAAATTATTTATTTAGTTATTTGTTATTGACGTGATTTATAAGGTCACTCACATTTCGACCATATAATTATAATTTATTGTCATACATAATCATATAAAATGCTCTAGGCTTGAATTTAATTATAAGATAATTATTACAAACGAATTTATTGCAAATTTATTGCAAACTATATCAAATTTTTTTATAAAATAGCTATTCAAACGGTTCAACTTTATTTGATTTTTTTTTATTAACTATATTATTTTTGTTAAGTTACATTCCATGTATTTTATTGTTTCAACTCAAATTAATATCTTAATTTCAACGTTTTTATATAAAAAATCATAGAAGTAATTATTTCAAGATTTCAATAATATATTCAATGTCTAATCCAGATTATTTAAGGAATTTTCATATTTTTTTTTAGCGTTTAAGTATTTATTTACAATTTCCTTTGATTTTGATGGTAATTGTTCTTAAAAGAAAAATAATTCATAATACAATTTGCAGTACCAAAACGACTGCGTTCAGTCCTCTGAAAAACATAATATTATCGTGTTTCTATAAGCTGTAGGAGTAGTGCGAGTGGATGATAAAGAAAAAAGTTATTCTTATCGCCTATACCGGCCGGAAAACTCAATTTACATGAGGGCTATAAACCAAGCACCAATAACTCATATCTACAAATTCTAAGCGAAACAATTACGCTCAAGTTGTCAAAGAAAAAAAAATGACTTCGATGATAATAATATTAGCATTATACGTCTTTACTACAGTCGACGCACACCGGGCTTGGCTACAGTGTTTCATCGACGAATTTCGAATCAGCGGATTTGTGAGAAACGCGCGACTGCGCGCGGTGTCACGAGTAGGCATATAATATTAATATTAAACAATATTATATTCGGGGAATGATATCGTATCGAATTAATTAATAAAAATAATATTAAAGTCTCACGCGCAGCGCAGTGACCGTTGCCGCCTGCATCATCCACACCATACGTTATATGCACGCATTTCGTATTCATCGGACGCCGTTGTGTGAGAACTATACGGAGCTTGCAGACTACACGACGAAATTCCGCCGCCGCCGATGCGTTTATTAAAATTCGGCGGGCGTACTCCCCCGCCGTCGCCACCGTCACCGCCGACGACCACGGCGAGGACGTCGACGACGACGACGACGAGCGACCGAGCCCGCTGCGATATCTCTCGAAAACTCGAGGTTTTTTCCCACGCCCCCGCCTCCCCGAACCCATCGAACGAGCAAAGAAGGAGGGTCGCCGGACTGCGCGCTGGCCAGAGTCCAACGACGACGAAACCGTACCGCCGGTGACTGTACGGCGTCGTGTTTATACGACATAATATTATATTATATTATATATATTTATTTTTTCATGATTCGAATACGCGATGATGAGTATAGGTACGACAGCGGCAGACAACAGATACAGCTTGCTGCGACATATAGGAGGAGTTCTCGAGGGGTGCCCCGAATTCGTTTTGGACATACCTGTACGAATGTCGAATTTGATGTATTTGTTTTTGGTCTTGTGTTATCTCTTTTTGATGGGGATTAAACAGGGTTTAAATCATCCACTTCCTATACAAGTATAGTTTGTTCTCGTCCCACGCGCACCAATACGGATCGACACACCACAACAATAAAGTTCTATTATATAGTGCGTTAGATAGGTATAGCTGATATTTTAATACAATAATAAGATTCGGTGTCAAGGGTCAATGCCGAAGTGAACAAATAATTTTTCTCGGATTCCATTAAAAGTGTTTATATTGATTTATGCGAATAAAACGAAAATGTTCCACTTCATTGGAACATGATGGTTTTCTAACCCGTTATACGTTCATGTATGGAAAACATTCCATACGTTTTGGCCGGATGGTACTATACTCAGCGCGGCACTGATTGTCAGTAGGTACCCATAATATTAAGGGTGGTCTTCATTGTCATTTCATCGTTTAAGTGTACGTGCGTGACAATGAGCTGGTTCCTGTAGTGTGGCAATAAATCACACGGTCTGTAACTATAAACTATATATAGGTACTTCAGGTAGCGATACTACTGCAGTGTTTACGATGAAAAATCTTACAAAAATAGCTGTTGAATTTTACTATCAAAATGTTTAAAACACAGAAGTTTCATGATATAATGATCGGTATAAATATAGATTTAATATATCATTATATATAGGTATACATAATATTATGATAGCGATAAGCTTAACGGGAAGAGGATATACGTTACAGGATTCATTTCGGCGATTTCTCTGTCACATATCTAGTTGCGCAACCTTTATATTTTAAGTCGATGGCCGAACGGCTATTGCCGGTGAACTGCTTTATATCCTCTTTCCATGTATTATCGCCAATGCTTCATTATCGACCATAATATAACCGTTATCATTAACAGCAACGCAATGACGGTAGCACACCGAACATCGAGGTCGTCGCCGTCGTCGCCATCGTCATTTATGATGTATAATAATATATTATATTATATTTAATAACCACGCGTAGGTTTTTTCGATATAATTTTAAGTATATATGTATAATGGCTGCTATAACTACAATATGTATATAATAATACACTTACTCGCAATCTCCGGGAGACTCGCACTTTCCGTGTACGGGATGGCATCCGGTCTTGCACACGGCTGTAAATAAACATTTTTTTTTTTTAAATATGATTATTATTACTATTTTAACATTAATAGTAAAATCATTCATAAGCAACATGAGCGCAGTGAGGAAGTAAATATAAGTAAATCCGAGCACTTACCTATGTCACATGTATCACCCTGCCAGCCGGGTATGCATTCTTTCCGGCCGTCCGTGTCACCGCACGTATAATGGCCGAACCGATCGTCGCGGGGCTTACAGAGTTTTGTACAATTTTGTCCGTAGTAGTTGCGATCGCACCTAACGCGCACCCGGTACGCCATGCGAGCAGTATGGCCCAGGTACGACAGAGCTTTCCACTCGTTACCGGGCAACAGGATTCCGGAATACGTGGCCTCTTCGATAACGGACGTCAAGCCTGCAGGAGTACATAATTAAACGATGAGTTACAATTTTATAACCAAGACTAACATAGTCTAACATTGACTATAGAATAAATCTGTTGGGGAACATTTAAGGGCACAACTTAGGCTTTCGATTTTTTTTCAAGTCGGATAAAGGTAAAAAATGTTAAAAAGATTTAATTATTTTATATTATTTTAAAGTGTAAATCTAGTAATTGTCATGTAATACTAACCCAACCCTATTTTATTATATTTTATTTTATAGATAGGGAAATACTTCCAGTAGTACTAAATTTATTAAAGTATTATAATTTATATTACATTAATGCCGCGATGTCTGTTCAATTGTATCTACGTCATGACCATTAACCGGATCAAATACTTCATATAAATTTATTCATATTCAAGCGAAAAAAAAAACAATAATTGCTAACGTTTAGTAAAACATTTTTTATTTACATATTTTGTACATAAATGTGTTATATTTAATGTTATAGTAAAACGATTATTTCTATACTATATGAGATTATTAGAATATAATTAAATTATTATGACTATATACTAAACACCTACCAGCTACCTAATTTAATATTATAGTTTGTCCAATTTGTAATATTATACACCTGAAGTTTATGTATTTTATAAATAAATATATGTGTGTGTGTGTGTGTGTTTATATATGTCTATATATTTTATATTATGATTATTAATTATTTTAATCGGTCAAATTAAGTTAATAACGTGGTTGCCGGTCAGTTTCTAATCGGAATTACTCTATAATCATTAGACTAAATAACGATGTTTTCATAAACTGGCAAAAGATATAAATTGTATAGCTGTTACATACAGTAATAATTATACAATTATGTTTAATCCTATTATTTCTGTGTTACGGAATCGACTGTTTTTTTTTTTTAATTTTTTTCCCGTGTTGCCGGACGATTTCAACTCGACCGCCGCGGCCACCGGACGAAAAGCCGGTACCGCGCCGCCGATTCGATTCGGTACCTGCCGCTCTCAGCTGTATGTTGTATATTATTATTATTATTATTATTACGTTGTTCCTAGTATATAATATAATAGTTGCAGCGACCAACACACACACACACACGCACGCGCCTGCGCTCAACAATAGTATAACAACGACGCGCGTGGAATTGATTGAGACGATTTTTTATTTCTTCTTCTATTCTCCTCTGTCCGTTTCTTAGGTGTTTCGCCTTGGCTACCCTTTTTTTTTCCTCCGTTCCGTTGTTCACGCGCGTTTATCTCTCCGCCGTAGGTAGGTGTACAACAATAGGCGTCATCGTCACAATCATACACACACACACACATACGTACAGTCGGACGGACGGACGAACGATATACATCACATTATTATTATTATTATTATTATTATATAAATGTGTGTGAAAACAAAAAGAATATACTACGACAAATCTTCAATAGTCGTACCTATATAGATGGGCACTGCAGTAACATAGTAATAATGATAATATAACAACACAACAACAATAGTAATAAAACCGTCGTCCCGCCGCCGCCGCCGCATTCCTACACGGAATTGGAAATTGGAATCGTATCGAACACTGTCTTATTATATATTATTATTATTAAAGCTATAAGTAATAGTCATAATAATAATAATAATAATAATAATATAATATAATATATAGCGTCCAGAGTGTATAATAATATTATTATATATTGTATGGGTACTAGTACGAGTACGAGTACCGCGATGACGATGATGATGATGATGATGATGGTAATATTTTACGACAATATCATCTCGTAGCCGCACCGCGTCGTCATCGTCGGCCATACACGGCCGCAGCGGCCTATGTGGCCCCAGCGGAATGGGACGTGACGCCGCCACCGCCGCGGCAATGCTATGTATACCGCGACGAAACGACCGGTACGATTGTTGTGATGCGCTTACCCACCGCAGTATCGATATCAATACGTACAATACAGAATATAATAATATACACACACACACATAATCCGACAACCGGACAACATCGACAACAACAACAACAACAACAACAACTATAACGATATACGTCTTCGATCGCCTCATCCCATCACACGGTGTTATGTGTGTGCGCTTAGTATTGACGAGGGTCGACGACGATTACACCAAACTCGTTCGCATTGTGCGTATGTATGCGCGCTGTGCGTGGGCGTATCGTGTGTGTGTATATTATATCGGCCGGTCACGTCGAGCCATATAATATACAATGACAACGACGACAATAATATATTAATAATAACGATATATTTATATTATTATATTATATTACATGTGACATTATCGTCTTATGTCTCGCGCGCTCGCGACATACCACGACCGTTTGAGATATTATATTATGTACGTTTTTTTATTATTGCCGTATGCCGTGTACGAGTATATAATAATATATGGACTGCAATAATAATATGATCGTTTCTAATTATTATCGTTATTTCTTATTAATAATATTATGAACGGCGTCTTACCTGTGTAATTGTTGTAGTCCATCGCTTGCAATACCAGAGTAAATGATCTCTGAAACAGAAAAAATATCCAATAAAACCATTATTGTGGCGATATAAAATACGCATATATTACACTCTACAATATAATAATAATAATAACATTCTTAGTATGATAATAATATTGTGCAGTCTTAATGGTATGTTATGCTCTCGCAGAGATCATAATAATGTGTGTTTGCAATTATTAAACGATGATCATCATATTGTTATCATCGTATCCGACGATGGGCGGCATTATAATTGCCTAGCCTATAAACATTTTCGAAATCATCTTTCGAGCTTTAACCGTATGCCGATATCGCGCGATGCGGGACGAACCCGGCAAAGCAAGAACCGCGATAAATAACGTATTTTTTATATTTTAACGTCGTCGGCGACGTTGTGGCCGTAGTTATGCTATATGCAGTGGACATGCGCACGCGCACGAACGATATGTCCGCTGAGTACGCTTATTTTTACATTCTTTCTGTGCTTGTATGTGTATGTGTGCATATACAATAATATACAATATACATACAAGTGCGCACTGCTGCACGTACATACGTTCGCGTACGATGTATTTGCACCCACCCCCCTTACCATAGACCGCCGACAAGACCGTGTACGATATTTGTCGTCGTCCAGACGACGGTTGCCGCAGAGTCGAGCGAGCGCGCGCGCGCGCGCGCTGGCCCGACGATAAATCATCATCGCGGACGGCGCGACCAGAGAAACCGCAACCAGAGGTACATAAACGCGTACTGGTATATACCTATAAACACACGAGATATTATAACAACACTGCGACATACACACATACACCTATATATGTATTTTATATTATTGTAATATTGTGTACGCTATAAAAAAAGTACGACGACCGACTCCTACGCGAACCACTGCACTGCTGTCACGGCAGACACGATTTCTACCTATATATATAATATTATAAACGGTCTGCGCACAATTTGCTGCACCGCGGTAACCACCGCGAACATGTTGTACCGCGGGCGGTATATAGGGTCCACCGCGACTCCGCTACGTATACATCGTAACGCCATAACAAGTAACAGCGATCGATGTATAAGTACCTGCATGCAGCGACTGCAGATGACGCGCATTGTAATCGTTTTTCTTTTCTAGTTCCTATATAGTACTCAGTTGCAGTTACAACTCTGCAGCGTGGTGTGGTGAGGAGATGTAACGTTTCGGATAATGTACAGCATCTTAGAAAGTACTCGTCATATTACCGTTGAGGTATAGCGATTTGTGGATCTAAAATTATAAGGTAACTTTAAACCCAGAACTTTTATTTATGAAAAAAAAACTATAATTTTAAATTTTAAACTTATTTCATCTTTGTGCATTAACTATTATTTCGATTGGATTTATATTGTTATCGACATCGATCGGAAACTCGTTGAAACTCGGTGCATATAAATTTCCCGCGGAACCGGCGCTGTTATAAGGGTAATATTTTAACGGGTACCTGTTGATTCGTAAAAATTCTCTTCAAAGGTTTGAAAACATAATATAAAATATAGATATACTGTTTATCCTATGCGTATTCGCGACGCAGTCGGTTTAGGGATGTGAACGATTTTCAATCGACAACACACTACAATAAATTTGCGTCTAAAATATTATGGGTATACAACACGATGGGTACTCGCGTCTATTTTTCGTCGATCACTGCGTATACCTACGTATAAGGACTGGTTGACAAAAAATGCCGATTACGGGAGTAGGTACGCTGCAGCTTGCGAGCCCATACAGTCGCCGCCCGAAAAGAAACCGTCACGTCATCACAATCATATACTTCGGCGGTTTCGGCTAAATAAGCCATAACCCGTCCGCCGCCGCTTTTCCGCCGCGTCACCGACGCGTAGGACGCGTGCGTGCCCGACCGGTCACCGTAGCGGCGGCAGCGGTGCAACAATCATATAGTAATAATAATAATAATAATAATAAAGCCACGACGGCGGCGTTTTTCCGCTACGTCACGCCACCGCTCTACGCTCTACGTGGTACACATATACACTAACGACTGCAGTACACGCCGCGGACTAATTGCCCGGTTGCGGATGACTGTATTATATATTGTGCGCGCGCGGCGGGTGCTACGCGCGGCCAGGCCGTCCCGCGAACGAGAGCCCACCACACACGGCCGCGGCGAGACCTAATATCCATTATTATTATTATTATTATTATTATTATTATTACGCCGTCTAGGCTGGCGGCGGCAGTTTAACGACGCCACGATATGATAAACGACGACTTGCGAGTAATCACCGCGGAGCGACCCGTTCGCGCGCAACGAGGAAATTAAGAGATCCGACGGCGGGCGAACTCGCTAACGAGGTTGTAAATACATAAGGCGATCCGGCAATACAGCAGGCGCTTCCGCTTTGCACGTCGGTATTGCCGAAATAAGTCATCTATTAATGTATTAAACAACAACCGCACGTGTTCGTGTGGCAAAACTGAAATTATCGGTTTGTACGAATTCGGACGCGATATCTCAATATATAGATTATAGAGGTATATATTAGGCTGAAAGTTACGCGTGACCCCTGTCCATTTGGATGTGCACAATATAATCTGTGTAACTCTTATGCCCCGTTTTCACTGAAATAGATAATATTGTACGACTTTCAGTTTTATCAAGTAAAAATACGTACTAAGCATATATTATGTATATAAATATATATATATATATATATATATATATATATATTAGTAACATCTTTTAGATATTATACTATAAAAAAAATCAGTTTCCACCGCTCACTATTTATCTATATGAAACAACTCTATAAGGTCAAAAAATTTCCGCTTTCTGCAAAGCCTATATTTTTATAATACTCCGAATAACCACGTTTCTTCCCAATTTGATGTAATTTGTAGGGTTTTTAACAATAGAAATAGATTATATTTTTAACTTCACGCAGGGTAAAATATAATAATTGCCGTATGGTGAGTTTAACCATCCATACACGTATAGTTCAACTCTATAGGGTGTCAGTGCATAACCAGTTTTTGTTGAATGCGGTGGCTCAAGTATATACTTATGTACATGTATATAATTAATAATTATGATTAGATCTACTGAACCAACAAACAAGGGTCTGAAAACTTTTTTCAATGATATGCATTATATTATATGTATTAATCGACGACAAATGTATATAAATATATAATACACAGATCTTTTTTAAAGAATTTCATTGAATATACTACAATATTTTAAACGTAGTTTTTTACGCACATACTTGCAATAATATAATGATAATACTTATTTAAAACGGGGCTATCTTTTAAAAATCGAACACAGCATTCTGTTTTAAGTTAGTCAAGCTAAAGTTATATGATGCTCTAAAAAAAGACAATGAAAACTATGCGTATAATATACCACACAAATACCTACTTAAGTTACCTACTATAATATAAAATGATCATTATTGTTTGTACGAATGTTAAAGTATTTTCGTCGTTTTAATACCAGATTTCTATGAAACAATTTGGATAATATTTGTTTTAAGCTGTCATCACATAGATTCATAAATATCAAAATTATCTAGACAATGATAAGCACAAACTCCTCATTACAAAGAGAAAACTACCAAAGAAAAGCTATCATGATATTTTAAATGTATACATTATATATTAAATACAAATTTTAATACCTATATATTATATATATACTAAACACCACGGTTGATCATAATTTTATTACTATATTTTGAGTACTTGTAATTATCTGTAATCATTTACATTCACCGATATCCATTATAATTGACAATTTTTTTTTATACAACTACTATACTGACTAAAGTAGGATAATATCATAATTAATATTTTAATATCAGTCCATGGCCCGATTTATGAGTCTTTTTTTCGATTATAATATATTTTTCTGAAATCATAAAATATTAAAATACATAGATATAACTTTGAAACCATGCCAATTAATTTTACTTCCGCCTCAGTGTTCCACTGGGTGACCATCTGCCTTCTACTTAATTAATATATTTTGTATAAGCGATCTACCCTGTGAGATTAAACATTTTTAAATTATATTCTATGCAGATGGTGCTATAAACAGTTTAGAATAATTGAAGATAAAAAACAAATTATTTTATTGAGTTAATCAGACAAATTAACTGTATTTCGATTAATGGTAATATGTTTTTAAGCATATGACAACGTGATGTCAATTATACATCTACGTGAATCAAAATTCCAAATTTAGGTATATTACATATAACGATATTTAATCGTTTTATTTCAAATATTGATCTTTATATTAACATTATACTTTAATTATTTAACTGGTCTGCTATACAGGTGTTTTAATATCCTATTAACTAGTTTCCATCTGCAGTACTGTCGAATATCAATTAACTATCACACCATATCAGTCACAACTCACAGCTATATATAAGAATTTAAAACACATTTATGATTCATTGAACGTAGGTATATAAACTCCGATAAGTATGTTTTGTTTTTAGTGTAGTTTGGTTTTGTTAATCTAGACGTGCATATTATATCTTATGACGGCAGCATTATTCTACGAGTGTCGCATTTTTTTTCTTTTTAATTGTATCGTATGTACTTTTGTTATTATTTACATTGTTTGTAAATAATAATTTATTCAAATTTGACAACGGTTAATGATTGACGAACAATCGTCGATGGTTAATTGTTGAGGTTGTGAATTCTATAATAACTATGACGTACATAACTGTAATCAAAGGTATGCACGACGTCTGTTGATGATGAAAATAAATAAATACCGTTTATAATAACAATATATTCCAATAATGCACGGTGTGAGTGGTCTCTAAAACGACTGCAGACTGTCATCATCGAAATCGCCGATGCCCATAAACCGGGTTAGGTTAAGTTATAATATATAGTATATTATAAGTATACCTATACCTAATAATATCGTATGAGTATACGATCTCGTTGATAATGTCTGAGGTAACGCATCCGACACGTCATCGGCGGTCAAGTCTCTTATCG